TCACTGGTAAAAAGGGGAGATATACACCTACATTGCAGACTGTTAAGGAGAAATAAATTAAAGCAAAAAGGTAGGCTTTGGGGACACAGGGAAGCCACACAGAGATTAAAAGCACCTGAGACTTTTGATGTCTCTGGACAGAAGAACTTCCATCAAAATTACATGCCCTACTACCAAAGAACTGCGCTAGTTACATACCTACCGAAAGTCTGTTTCCTCATCTACAAAATGGAATAAAAGTAGGTACCTAACATAGAGATTATGTTTGAGTCTGATAGAGGCAAAAGACTGCTACACGTCTTTTTAACCTGTTATTACAAATATACTTTCACATGTCACCAGTTCTTCGGTATTCAAAGCACCCTAACTGCCATTTATATATTGTGGAATGACCACTAGCCTTTCTCCCAGCATCCTCCCAAACTCCTCTAAAATGACAGTGATGAAATCACAAAGATATTTAACTATCTATACAAAGACAAACTGAAAAGGAAAGAAGACAACAACGTATCATTTTTATAAGATGGAAAGCAGTTGGAGGAGTGGCAAGGCTCCTCAGGACCCCAGAGGGGCTCAGCTCCGGCAGCATCAAGAGCCACCAAACACCAGCCTAAGGTAAGTTAGCCTGAAAAAGCATCTCACGGGGGTATTCAAAGAATCTGAACCTCCAACTCAAACAGAAGATCCAAAGCTTCTTCTGAAGAAAATGAACTTCTGAAGCAGAACTGTAAAGAGAAGTCAAAAAGTCTACAGCCTGAATGGCAGCAACCTCCTTCCCTTCCCAACCAGATCACCCAAACCTAGGCAGCAGCTGGTATGTCACTAAGCACACTAGAAGCAGGAGATTAGAGGTGTCTTCTTTGCAGACACTAACTAATCCTGAAGATGTAAGGGTTCTGCATGTAAGGCAGTTTCCAATGAAGAGTCCACCAGCACTCCAAGGGAAGTCAGCAGAACACCAGCACACAACACATGGTTTCTCTTCCCCAATCAACCTTACAGCATCTCACTCTTAATTACAGACAGTCAAGGACCACTATATATTTGGGGGTTTTTAAAATTAATTAATTAATTAATTTATACAAGAACCGGGGTACAGACCAGATGCGTGAGAGGGTGAGAGGATTCACCAGAGACAGAGAGGGGAACAGAACAGGCAGACTGACGAAATACACTGCTGAGGGGAGCAGCAGGAGAGATAGGCGAGGTTTGCTGCACCATGTGGGACCCTCGCTGGCCAGCCGGGATCGAACTGGCGCTGCAGAGGCTACAGATAGCTTCAAAACGCTGCGCTCAACCACCTGCACCACCAGGGGAGGCCCCCACCATATATTTGTGGTCTAAACAAACATGCAAAGAACACTGAAATGAACAGGCAAACTGAAGGAACAAAATATCAAAAATATATTAAGCTTACAGAAAAAATTAAGAACACACCTCAAAAACAAGTGAAGATAACACAATCGTAGAATAAGATGCAATGGAGTAGAGGGAAAAAAAGAGCTTCTACAATTTAAAAATATCATTGATAAAATCTTAAAAAGTTTGGAAGGCAAAATCGAGAAATTCTCCCCCTCTCTGCCTCCGAATACGAAGATATAAATAGAAGCAACCAAAATTAAGAAAATGTGATGATCAATTCCAAAAGATTCAATAACCAAATCAACAGACATCTCTGAAAGAGAAAACAAAAAAAATAAAGGGCAGGAAATTATCAGAAGCAACACTTCTGAAAATTGACGGCTGAGTCCCTAGATTGAAAGGGTCAACTATGGTAAGACAGGCAACAAGTGGAAGGAAAAACCCATATTAAAGATCATAAAATTTCAGAATCCCAGAAAAAAAAGGCTGTGAACTTCAGGAAAAAGAAAAGAGAAAAGAAAGGCAAGGAAAGGAAGGGGAAAAAGAATCAGGATATTTTTGAATGTTTATCAAAAACCCTTAAATTCAGAAGAGTGCAAAAATGCCATCAAAGTTATAGTGGAAAAATAGTTTCAACCTAATACTTTAAATTCAGCCAGATAATCTATAAAGCATAAGGATAGGACAGATACCTTCAGAAATGCAAGGCCTAAAATAATTTACCTCCCATGCATTCCTCCTTCTTAGGAAGCTACTAAGAATAGACTTTAGCAAAATGAAGCAAACCCAAACAAAGGAAGGCTGTAGATTCAGAGACTGTTAGACAGTCTCTAACACAGGTGAAAAGAGAACAGAAGCCCCAGGAAAAACAGTTCTATTTATCCAAATGAGAGCAAGAGGATGCAATGCTATGGCGCAGGGAGTGTCTCAGAGAAATTCAAGTGGAAAGGATAGATGATTTGATGTGTTACCTGGGAAAAACTGCCAAAAGGCATTTAACATATTTCCTGGAATATCTGAGGGAGCAAAGCAATAACTACATTAAAAAAAAAAAAAAACCTAATCTAAAAGTTTAAAAGGCAATTATTTGCTCCAGGAAAGACAAAAACAGAAAGGAAAAGAAACAAAATTATAAGTACCTATTTAACTCATTAGTGATCAGTAAACATGTACACAATAGTCTAAATATTGACTGCTGTTTTTACCAAGAATTGTAAAAACAGGGGTGTGGAGGGCAGAAAAGAGGAGAAGAGCTCAGTTGTGATACTAGAAAGTAAAATGCTTAATCTGTGTTGATTTAGAAACATTAAAGTTGAAACAGGGGACAAAAATAAACAGAACTATTGTAGTCTGAAATAGTAACTTCCGCTGGAAAGTAAGGCCTGGTACATAGAAAGGCCAAATGCAGGACACTGCTGTTTTTTAATTTAAGCCATTTAGCACTAATGGACTTTTTAAAAACCATGTGCAAATATTAATGGGATTAAAACAACAGCTTATTTTCATATCAAGGGTAATTTATAAAGGTATTAATATTGATTTCATTTAACCATGGTAAGTTTCCCAAGTCAGCTCTCAGAAAGCATGTAATCCATAATAGTTCAAAAATATGGTAGAAAAGTATTATTTAAAATAGTCCCAAACACTGTAAGAGTTTCTGGGGAAAACTGCAGACTGAGAACTCAAGCATATCTATATACAGCTCAACCCCACTGCTTGTTCTTTCCCACACAGGAGCAGTCAAGGAATCCTTTCATGGTAGAACACAGGAGGGAGATGAGAAGGGATAGAACCAGAGGACCTGGAACTGAAGGATGGAGAGTAGAGAGACCCACTGGATATGGTCAACTGGATATGCAGTAGAAAAACTACTGCTCAAGTTTCCTCTTGCTTTAAAGATAAATGAGGCTGATCAGCAAGCCCATACAACTTCCTCTCCTGCCAACAGTGCATTCCCAGGCAGAAAGTGGGTGTTCATCATACAGGTAATAAACACATTATTTCAAGTATTCACTATCACTGATTTCTTTTCCACTATACAATAATCAAACTTCAATGTGAAAAAGAGCTTCATTTCATTCAATAAAAAAACCTTACCTTCAGCCTACATCAGCACTGTTTGATTTAAAAAGAAAAAGATAATTGTGCCACCTTGAGCAAATTATTCAAAGCCTCATCTTTCCTATCAAAGGAAATGATGATACCTGCCTCATTGGGTTACAAGAATATTCAAGGAAACAATGTGTATGAGAGATGTTGGGGCAGGTAAATGACAGGTACTCAATGTCAGCCTGACTGTCCTCGCCTACCTTGCCCCCACAACCCCCTGACTGGTTTCTTATATGTAAACAAAGTTGTGTTACATACTCTTAACCAAAAAACTTTTGTAAAATCATGTATAATATATTAATCGTTTTTGAAAAATCAATGCTGTAATTCAACTTAGTCATTTTTCCTAAGCTTTATAAAGTCTTATATTCCAATTTCTAACCCAATTAACCCAGTTTAAACTCAATTAATTCAGCTAGACCGAAAAAAAGGATTAGGAATGGCAGAACATTACAAAAAGACAGCATTCATATCTGTAACAGTGTTTAACAGTCTGCTGAAAAGCAATTCCATTTCAACACTGAGTGTAGCGCCACAGATTTCAACAACAAAGTCTTACACTTTGAAAATAACAAAATAAAACTGACAGATAATGGATGATGAAGAGAGTAATTGTGTTCCCCCTCAGAAACTCAATGCACCACAAACCTGATAGGAAATAAAGGGATTGCTACAACACAAAAAAGAAAGCGAATGTCTAGATTCTCTGCAACGACCAAAGTCGTCTTATTTGGGGCCGTTTCTATCAAGCCTTCTTCAGTGGGGGTCACTTCCAGAATCTACAAAGTCCGACCACAAGAACACAGTTTTTCAAATTAATTCCCCAAACAACAAAGCTAACTAAACAGAGAACCACCAACTGCCCCAAAGTCAAGGTCTCCTTTTCCTCCCAGCTATTCAAGGCAGGAGATGGCCCAGAAATACAGGATCGGTCCAAACGACGACACACCCAAGACGAGAACCAAAAAGATAAGTGAAGAAGCCAAAAGGTCTGCTCCCCGAGACCCATTCACTATTTAAAATTATATTATCGCTAGCAAAATTCGGAGACGGCCACGCATCAACTTTCTCTCATGACCATTTTAGTGCTGCCTCCACTGGGGCATCTACACCCTAGCCAAGGGTTTGTTTGCAAATTTAGTCTAAAAAACGTGAATTTCGAGGTCTCCAAATCCAGGCCCTCGAGAGACACGCACAGGAAGCGCCCGGAGAAACTTGGTGCGGCGAGGAAGAAAAGTTGCAGGGGCGCCTGACTGCAGGTAACAGAGCAGAGCCCCGGCGGCTGCAAGGCTGGCAGGGCGGGAGGGGGTCTCGCGGCCCGCGACGGAACCCCTCCGCGGGGCACCGCGAGCGAGGGGGAAGGCCGTGCGGGGACACACCTCCCAGCCAGCACGGCAGCAGGGGCCGGGCCCGCGGCGACCCCGCGCCCGCGACGGGACGGGGAGCGCCGGGGACCGGGAGGGGACCCGCCGGCGGACCAGGGCGCGCGGACTGGGCCGCCGAAGGCCGGAAGCAGCCGGCGCCCGGCCCGACCTGCCCGGCCCGGCGCGGGCGGCCCCACTTACCGATGAGCCGGCGCACCTCGTCCTCGCTCAGGTAGAGGCTCACGCTGGGCCCCGCGGCCGCGGGCTGCAGCGCCGGGGGCCGCAGGGCGGGCGAGGCGGCGGCGCCGGGCAGCGGCAGCAGCGGCAGCAGCGCGAGGAGGAACAGCAGCGGCGGCGGCGGGGCTCTCAGGCCGCGGGTCCCCGGGAGGCGGCCCCGGCCCGGCGGCCCCGACCGCGCCGTCCCGCGCATGGCCACCGCCGCCGCCGCCGAGGAGGAGCGCTGGCCGCCCGCCGCGCGGCCGCCGCCCACCCCCGGCCCCGAGCCCATCACAGCCCCGAGCCGGGGGCGGCCGCCCAGCTCATGGCGCCGCTGGCCCGTGGCAGCCCGCAGCCGCTTCAGACCGCCGGAGCGCGCCGCCGCCGCCGCCTCCTCGGCGGCATAGTCCACTACGGGGGGCTGGTCGCGGGCGCGCGCCCGCGCGCGTCGCCGCCGTCCCGAGAGCGCGCACGCACGCGCTGCCCGCCGGGTGCGGGCTGGGGCTGGGCTGCGGGCGCTGGGGTTTTGCAGCCCCTGCGCTGGCCAGGGGTTCCCTAGGCGCTTTCGGAAGCAGCCAGTCTCCCTCCACTCCGCGTTGACACCGGCCTGGGGTTTGCTGTCTATTGTCTGCAGGGCCCCTCTGCGCCCAGACGAAGGATCCAGGCAGGCAGGCCCTGGCCGCGCCCGCTGCGCAGTGAACTCTGCAGATCGGGGAAATGTCTGGATGCTGCTGCGGCTCTGGTTGCTTTTTTTGTTTAGTGAGAAATTGGAGAAAAATAGAAATCACCTCTTAGCCCACCCTCAGAGGTCAACATTAAGTTAGCATTTGCGTCTGTTCTCTAAGATACATAGAGTAAATGTATTTGTTCTCCAATATGGTCTTGTTTAGCAAACTTTGGTAACTTTGTTCTCAGTCGTTATTCATCTATTTTTAATAACGGTTTCTTAGTTCCTGTAATCAGCCCGCGGCAGGGGTTAACAACCCCTGAGGTCCCTGCCAGACTTTGACAGGTATTCCCCCCTCCAGCCCAGTCAACTTGATATTGTGTTCAGAAGTGTGCCTGATCTCAGTGTGTGCTCGGACAGTGTGTGCTGTGTTAATGCTTGAGCACACAGAGAGAAGTGTGTATACATCGCATCATTTACTCCAGGGTGTCCCTGTCCCCGATGAGGTTAAAAATCACGGACACCAAGTCTTTCTTAAAGACAGGCTCTAGAGGTGCGCGCACCACTTGGGCTCTGAAGCATTTACAGGAGCTAACAATCCACCGTCGCGGGCAAACTGTGTGCTGGTGCCCCATGGCTCCTCTAGGCTCCGGATCACCACGCCCTTGTGAACGAGTCCTGGCCCTGACCCCAGGCTCCTGCCGGGCCAGAGACCCGGGAGCAGCTGCTCCCCAACCAGGCCTAACTTCAGTGCGCAGTTGCTCCACCCGCGGTGAGGCCCTGGGAGCTGGCTATTTTTATCCTCTGGGGAGTGTAGGGGAAGGGAGCTTGAGGAAGCAGGAAATCCTGGGACTTGATTTTTCTCCTTCTCTAGGGCACAGGATGAATTTCATTTAGATATAACCAGCCCCCGCCACCCCTCTACCCCCAAAGAATAATCTGCCCTATAGGAGAAGGCTGGGCAGAGGGTCAGGGCTCTGTCCTGAAGGACTTGGGGCTGAGAAAATGCTGTGTTAACAGGGCTCTCAATTGTGATGGGAGGCAGTTTTTACCGGATGACATGTTGCCTGCATTTTAAAAAATGCCTGGTTCCCAGTCTTAAAGTCCTCAAATGAGAAAACTTCTGTTTCTAGGGGCTCTCCTCTTGTCAGTGACTTCTTGTGGCAGCCTCTGATATGAATGGAGCCCAGAGCTGTCTGTCAGGCCTGGCAAGGTTCTAATACTCATCAATGGTGTGACTTCAGGAAAATTACTTAAGCTGTCCAAGTCTCTGTGTCCTCATTCATAAAATAGGGGTGATAATGCTAGTCTTAGAGGACTTTAACAGGATTTAATTGGAGCTGATGTGAGTAAAATACTGAGGCAGTCACTAGACTGGGTGTCATACTCCTTGTTATGTTATTGTAATTAATTCCTTTCCTCTAAGGTCCATTCCTGTGAATGTTTCATCATCACTTACCTTCAAACAGTTCATACAAGAGATTCTCAAGGACTTCACTCAATAGCATGATGCCTGCTCTAGCGCAAGAGCTCAAAACAGTTGTGCCAGGCACCATGCTTAGCCCTGGGACCTAGGTGCTTCCTTGAGCATGTCTGATAAACAAATATTTATTGCATGTTTCCATCAGTGCTATGAAGCAAAAATGTATTGTTGTCAAACTGTGGTTTCCAGTCTAGCAGTATGATTATCACCTGGGTACACATAGAAAAGCAATCCCCGCCTCACTGGTGCCTAGGGGTTAAGTCTCAGCGCTATCACTACTTGGCCTGAGTTCCATCCCTTGCCAGGGAGCTAATCCACATATGACGCAGCAGACCTCTCCTGTCTCACTGGCTGTTCCCCTTAGCAGTTTATTTCAGTAAATCTGCCTGTTCTGCTACCCACTCTGTCTCTGGTAAATCCTCTCACCCCCTGCCCCCCACACCTCTGGCCTACGTCTTAGTTCTACTATGCAAAAATAAATAAAATTTTAAAAAAGAAAAAGAAAAGTAAATTCCTAAGGCCCCACCCCCAGACTAACAGAAGTAGCAACTTCAGGGGGTAGCAAAACATAAAGAAGTACTATGTACAATTTGTTATTTATTCTAGGGAATTCCTGTCTCCCAAAGAGGTGATGTTGGCCACTCTTTCAAGAAAATCTCAGCTCAACTCTCTTTCCTTTGGACTATTGCAGTTACCTCCTCACTGACTGGTGTCTGTTCTCTAACCAGTCCAGAGCCATCCTCTTAACTATCCGCCTGATCCTTCATTCCCTGGTTCTTGGACTGCCAGAGACTTGCCAATTGATCTAGAATAAAAGGCAAAGTCCTTTCAAAATTGAAGGCAGTTCTCACTCTCCACCTTCCTTCCTATAGACCTTATCTCCTACTCTCCCCATACTCATTTAGCTCCAGCCAGAGTGGCTTCCTTGCTATGCTTCCAAAGCATCACACGCAATCCTACCTTAGGGCCTCTGCACTGCTGTTACATGTATCTAGAATGCTTTTGCTTCTGACATCCATGTGGTTTACCAGTCACCTCCTTCAAATCTAATTAACTTCTGTATTAGATTAAAATTGTGAGCTCCCAACACATCAACTCCCCAGAGAAGAAACTGGTTCCCATCCTCGATCTCCTGTCTCTGCAAGGTACTTGTCTCACTCAAAGGTTTTCTCACAATCCCCCAACTATCCCTAGAGAGGGAGTTCCCTCTCCCTCCCCTAACAAGGTGTGGGTGTCAACTTTTGAAATTTCCTAGTGCAAAATTTCTGGGAAGCTGTCTTCTCAGCCTCCTGAGGTTTCTTTACCTGAGGAAAATAAGGTCCCAGTCACCCCAAACCCCATGCATCCCTCCCACAGCCACCCCCATCCTCCATCCTTCTTGGTTTTCCTTGTCACAGTCATTGACCTTATTCTGCAACTCTAGACAACAAATTTCAGAAGACCCAGAAAATACCATCATGAAGATTTGTTTCACTACTGAAAAAGACCAGTGCAGCGAGGGGGTGTGGAGTGTCAAGGCATCTGGCATTGGGAATGCTGTTCTGTGGACTATAGATCAGTTTACTTTGGAAGCTTCCTCCACAATTGACATATTAGTCCTTTATATTGTGAAAGAGTGAAGAGGCAAGGAAGCACATGGAGTGAAATGTGAGCATTCCCCTGACATAAACCATCATCTCCCCCCACCTCCCAGCTTGGTGTATGATCTTATAGCCCCGTGTCTAGACATTTACCTAAATACAAGTGGATTGGAGATTCTCTCTCTCTCTCTCTCTCTCTCTCTCTCTCTCTCTATATATATATATATATATATATATATATATATATATATGGATATGGATTCAGTTTCACAAAAATAGAAACAAACATACAAAGAGTAACGGTGATGCAACTTGCTTTTTTCACTCATCAAAACAAGTTGAGGTTTTTTTTTGGATGTTTGCATACAGAACAAACAGAGGCGTCTCTATGGTGTTCCTTTCATTGGGATGGACCATGATAGATTTCACAGTTCTGGTGCCTGACCACACATGCTTGCATATACATCTCTGTGCACATCTGTAGATATTTAGGATAGAGTCTCAGAAGTGGTGTTGCTGACTCAAAGGAGTTGCCTTTACATGTGGTAGATTCTACTGACTTGCTCTTCAAGACACTCCACAAACACTTCCACCAGTGGTATAAATGAAAGAGACAGGTAACAACATATCAGTGTTTTTATTTTGCTTTTGACTGTGTGGGTAAAGAAAAATAACTCATTGTTGTTGACTCTGCACTTCCCTTATTACCACTGAGGTTGAACATCCTCTTAGATGTATTTGTCCACCATTTTCTACTTTGTGAATTTTCTGTCCACATCTTTTACCTGTTTTTCTACTGGGTAGTTTGTTTTCTTAATCACTCACAGGTATTTTTATTGTGGTTATTTAACTTTGGTTATGATTTTCCTTGCTTAAAGTTTGGATTTTTATTTTAGATGGATCTATTTAATCTTTTTTTAAGTAACTTCTGCATTTTTGTGCCTTCTTAAGAGGAACTCCACAATTAATATTTTTTGTATTTTAAATGTTTTTGTACTTAAAAAGTTTAACTCCTTAATCCTTTTGGAATTTATGTTTATATATGGCATATGACACAATTTTATTTTTTCCATATGGGGAGCCATTTGTCCCAAATGCCATTTATTGTATTTATTGTATATTTCACTCTTTGCCATTGTGATCAACGGTATTATTCTGGATTCTCTAGGGAAACAGAGTCAATAGGAGATATATATATATACACATATATATTTATGAAAGAAAGAGAGAGAAGGGAAATTTATTGTAGGAATTGACTCAGATGATTTTATTTATTTTTTTAAAGACCTATTTTATTTTTACGCATACAAGAGCTGAGGCACAGGCCAGAGGTGCGGCGGGTGGGGGCGGAGTGAGAGGATTCACCAGGGACAGAGCGGGGAACCGAACAGGCAGACCAACTGAAATACACTGCTGAGGGGAGCAGTAGGTGAGTCAGAAGAGGTCTGCTGCGCCTGTGGGTTGCTCCCTGGCCGGGGATGGAACTCATATTGCAGTGGCTGGGGTTAGCTTCATAGGTTGAATCTTAACCCCTTGAGCCACCAGGGAGGCCTGACTCAAATGATTTGAGAGGCCATGGAGTCCTAAGATCTGTCATCTACAATTCCAGAGAACAGGAAAACCAGCCATGTACTTTAGTCTGAATTCACGGACCCTGAAGAGGAGGGGGCTAAGGTATGAGTCCCAGTCTAAGAGGAGTATAGGGAGAGATGGATGTCTCAGCTCAAGCAGAAAGAGGGAATCTGAGCTTCCTCCACCTTTTTGTTTTGTTCAAACCCTAGCAGATTAGATGATGCCCACCCACACTGGTGAAGGGAGGTGGATCTTCTCTACTCTATGAATTCAAATGCTAATCTCGTCCAGAGACACGCTCACAGACACGTCCAGAAATAATATTTGGGCAGCTATGCAGGCATCCCTTAAGTCAATCAAGTTGACATTTAAATTAATCATCACAAGCCTATCCCTTCTCTCCTTGGCTCTCATCTGCACCAACTTCAACCATACCTAATCTCAAAATTAAAAGAATAATAAGGTAGTAAGTCTTACCAGCATGACGTGACCATCCTGCATACAATCAAAAACCTACTAATCCCTTCACCAGAAGAGGAAGTAAAATCCTCAAGTGATGTGTACTCTTCTCCTGATATCCTTTAACTTAAAGTTTATGATGTAAAATTAACAATACTTAAAGCAACACCTCTTAAGTTACATAAGGGAATAAAAGTGGAAAGAACAGAAAGATATTTGCTATATATACTGTAATTATAAAAAAATAAGTTCTTATTCATAACAAAGTATTTGGGACAAATGGCTCCCATATGGAAAAAACAAATGTAATTCATAACAAAATTCATGACAATTAGAGTTCCTGGGTCTGTAACTGGTCACATGATTATAGGTGGTGTTTATAACTACCTTCTTCTTCTACCCATTCTGTACCCATTCTGTATTCCCTTTGCCTTTAGCAAGCACCTCAGCTTAATGTGGTTCCTTTATAGTGGGGAGAGCCAGGGGCACAAACCTTCACTGCTAGAGGATCCTGCCTAGACTGGGTTGTCATTTTTCAACACTGGCCTTAACTACAGGGCTGATAAACAAAGAGACATCCTAAGGAATCACCTGTGTCAGAACACTCTTCCTTGCCTGTCTTCTAAAAAGCTTTTGAAAAAGTAAGGTAAAGCTCTGACTGCCACTCCGAAACATTATCTTTTCTCTCTGACTGTTATAGGATCTTTTTATGGTGTTTTGCAGTTTCACTGGAATATATTTAAGTGTGGATATCTTTCCATTTACTTTGCTTGAAATTTATTGAGACTCCTGAATCAGGTGTAAGGAAGTCTAAGAAATAATCAGCTCCATTTCCTTTATTATTCATAGATATTCAATTTTTTCTAAAACATTTGCAAATAATTTGGAGACATCATATCCCTTTACCCCTAAATACTTCACTGTATATTTCCTAAGAATAAGGACATTCTTCTTGAGTTCATGACTATCTTTTAGGGTACTGGTTTTCCTCAGATATTTCCTGACTTTTGATTGCCTTCTCCTGCTTGGGTTTATGAACCCATGTTGGTCTTTGAGGTGCAGATTCTGGAACCTCTGATGAGTGTGGAGAGCCTTTGCTTGTGTGTGTTTTGCCATGAGGTCTCCTTATCTGTCCTGGAACTTCCTTGCTGCTTGGGCATCCCTCTGCCTCTCTGGCCCCAGTGCTTAACCACTGGGAACAAAACCGCTGCTAACAATGGTCCACACAAGAGGATCTGCAAGATGATTCCACCAGTTGGGTTACTTGGCAAAGCCCCTGTGCTTCCTTGGAGCAATCTTCTCCTGCTTGCAAAATGAGGTGGATAGACTTGATGTTTATATTCCATCCTGTGATTGAATCCAATTTTTATTTGAGCACATGGGAAGAGGCCAGGACTCCAACCCCATGACCTCCCTTCCCTCACCCCTCCCCCAGCTCTGTGATCCAAGGCCAGTTATAGGCCCTTCATTATAAACAGAGTTAGTAACTCTGACTTTGCTGCAGAACTTAGGAAAGAACATGAAATTGTGCACCCAATCCATTGCCTGGTCCATAGGAAACACAGCTATGAATTACTGCCATGTGATGATACCACACAGAGGAAACCCCCCTTTGCTTTCCATCAGATTCACACATACACACAGTCCCATGAAAAAATCCCCTTATTTATTCACAATCTGCAAGATCAAATTTCATCCAACCTAGAACTCCCAGTGCCATCTGGGGTGTCCCCATCCGCTCTCAGTTCTTTGTTCCGTACACAACACAACCCCTTTCCTCCATTTGTGGGATCATGTGGGGCAGTGGTTATGCAATAAGCTTATTAAAGTTGTAGAGGAAAGGACCATGGGGTGGAGGGTGTGTAGGAGGGGTTCTAGATCAGCAAAGAATAGTGCAAATCTTGAGAGGACATATTAGATGCCTCTAATCTCTGTACAATAGCCCCACGCCCACAGGACCTAATTCTCTCCAGGCAGGAACAGAGGTGTGAGATGGTATCCTCTTCCTCCTCCCCCCACCCCTAGGCTTTCCTCAATTCTCTAGCCATTCTAGATGCTTTTTAAATCCCCAATTCTGGCCAGAGGAGTATAACTATCTCTTTGTTTTATATTCTCAACTGTTCACCTTCTGCATCCATCCAGGTGATGTGTCAAACAAAGAGCCTTGTGCTAAGGAGGAATACATGCCTTCGGGGAAGGTACGGCTGCAGTTTGCTGTGACTTTAAATGTTAGCTAGCCTATCTCTCTGCTACAATTAGAATCTTTACTGAATTATGTCAGGAGAGACATGACAGTCAAACTAGTATGTTGGCTGGATCATTTTGGGGAAGATTGAGAGGATGAACTAGAGGGGGAGGGGTAAGCCCAGAGTCTGGGAAATCAAGCAGCATGATTTTCCCCACAGGGGAAATGAGAGAGAATTTGGAATGAGCAGGGCAGAGCCGTGAGGATGGGAACAAGGTCTGATATGAGAGCTATTTATGGAATAGTGTCAGTATCTTGATGATAGATTGAATAAGGTTAGGGGGCAAGAGAGGCAGGGGCCAAGGGTGAATCTCAAATGCTGTTGCCAAAATAATGAATAGAGACTATCAGTGCTCACCTTCCTCACCTTTTTCCTCCTCATTCTACAGCTTCTGATAATCGAGATCATTTGTAGGACTTGGGCAAATGTCAGACACTCTGAGGAGTGCTTAATGTGCTCCATGAGATACAAGAAACCACTTCATTCTATAAGGAATGTACCAGCATCCAGTTTTCCATATGAGAATGCAGCAAATTTCCCAAGCTTTCACAAAGAGCAAAAACACTTTGGGTAAGTTTAGGTTCTGAAATAGTGACTTCTTTTTAGGAATGCTGAGCTTGAGGTTCCTGCTGAACATCCTGGCAGAAATGTCCCACTAGCAGATGGAGATGCAGATCTGACTTAAGGAAAGTAACTGGGTCAGAGATCCAGTCACCCACAGTGAGGTGGCAGGAGAGGCCAGGTGATTCTTATGGAAAGAGCTGTGAGAGAATGCCAGACACATCATCAGAGATAAGAGATGAAGAGAAGCTACGAGAATGAGACGTGACTACAGAGTAAGGTGAACTAGGAGAACACTAGAGCAGTCCAGTAAAAGGAGTATGTTAGGAAGGGAGTGGCCAAGCATGTGACATAGTGCCAGGTAAGCCAAGAACAGGAGCATGCCCAGTTATCTGTTGACCAAGGGTGTATTGATGAGGAAGGCTGTGACACTCAGAAGGCTGAGCGTGAAGGTCAGAGCAGGAAGGGAGACAAGAAAGTGAAGACAATAAGTACAGACGTTTTCAAGAAGTCAGTTGCAATAGTAAGGAGAGAGAGTATGCAGTGTATCGATGAAGAGAATTCTTATAATATGTAATAAGTGGCTACTAAGCTGAAAGTGTTGTAGAGCAACCCCGATACAAAACGGGGTGCCTGACTGTGGGTCCTCACCCGCGCGCTTAAAAGGACTTATCAATGCTCTACTGCAGGCACACGTGAAAGGTTAATAAAAGGTTTATTTACAAAGGGAAGGGGAAATGAGGAAATGTACAGCTCTGGGAGAAAAGTGGGAGACAAAGTTTTAAATGAGTCCTACCCGATCCGCCGATTAGGAATCCCAAAATGGCGCTCTGAGAGCTGGCCACCAGCCAGGAGCGGTGAAGCCAGGAGGCGAGCGATCGCGAGCCAGAGAGCCCAAGGCCCACGTGTTTGGTTTTTTATATCCAACCTGGCTGCCCAACTCCACCCTCAGGTCCCAGCCACCCTCCCTTGGTGGTGATGGGATTTGTCTTTCCCAGAGTCTTGATGGCTTTAGTCTGGAGTGGGGGTGGAGTCCACAAAGTTAATCCTGTATGGGATTAACTCAGGACATCACTTCCCCCTAACAAAAGGAATGTACCAAAAATATAGGGGAGAAGTCAAAGTTATAAATAAAAAGAAACAATTGATAGGGCAACATCCCAAAGAGGAGGGGTTCAGTGTTCAGACATAGACACCTTAGACATAGCCCCATAGACATAGGGCAGTCAAGAATGGGAAGGAAGTTATGAAAATCCATATTTGTTTGCTTCTCTTTTCTCTGAAATAAGGATAGTTAAAACACCAAGGAGTAGAGTAGACTTGGGGCCTTGGTAACAGGATTGAATTATGCAATTGCTGGTGGTAGGGATGTTCTTCTGGGCATTGTCGAGGGTTAAGCTGAAACAGATGAAGTGAAGTCTCTGAGGTCACAACAGTTTTTGTGTTGCTTTATTTGCAAGAGGAAAGAAGGTGGCATGTGGAATGAGTCATATTTGGTTACAGATCCAGAGCAGTAGAAGGAAAAAAGAGCAAGACTGTAGAGGATGTTTTAAGTGATACATCAGGCCATCAAAACTGGACACTTCCCAAGTATAACCAGAAAGGACTAAAATAGAATGAGACATTGCTGCTGAAAAATGGCAGATTGAACACAGCTTCTTAGCGGTCCCCAGCTTCCCAAACTCTACTAAAATGACAGAAAGGGATTTTCTTAAGTATATAAACCCAAATGACAGCGAGCAATGGGAGTAGAGATGGCAGTAATTGCATTTTGGAAGCTGAGAACAGGTGAACTGTGGTAACTGATTTAACTAAAATGTAAGTCAGGAACAGAGGTACACATGTCTGTGGAAGGTAGAATGCAAGAAGGACTAAGAATAGAAGTATCACTTTGAGCAGTAAATAGATTCCTAGGTCTTCACTCCAACTTAACCACAAAACTAGACGTTTATGATCTGGAAAGGATAAAACAGGTCTTTGGCCTAGAGGACACTGGGCACAGATACAGGTGAGAGCTAGAAACCCGAGTACCATACTAAACACAGGAGGATCAAGTGAAAGTCTATATATGAACTAGAAAAGAACACACACACACACACACACACACACACTTCAGCACTCTTCCTATACTTAGTTCCCAGTATAGTGGCAGCCAGGCTGGTGAATAGATTTTCCTCCAGAGAATCTGATCATGCCAGTGGTAAATACCTGACAACACAGGTGTATCTTATTTCATTGTATTCATTTTATTGCACTTTGTACATACTGCATTTTTAAAATGGAAGGTTTGTGGCAACCCTGAAGCAAGCAAATCTGTCAGCACCATTTCGCCAACAGCACATGCTCATTTCATATCTCTATCACATTTTGGTAATTCTTGCAATATTTCGATATTTTTGTATCACTATACCTGTTACAGTGACTGCAGTCTTTGATGATACTATTGTAATTATTCTGGGACACCATGAACTACACTCATATAATACATCTAACTGAACTGATTCTTGATGCATGTGTACTGACTGCTCCACCCATGGTTTCCCATCTTTCTTCCTCTCCTCAGGTCTCCCTGTTCTCTGACACACAATAATATTAAAATTAGACCAATTAATAACCCTACCATGGCCTTTTAGAGTTCAAGTGAAAATGATCTTGGCAAGAGTCACACATTTCTCACTTCAAATCAAAACCTAGAAATGATTAAGCTTAGTGAAGAAGCCAGGTTGAAAGCCAAGATAGGCTCAAAACTAGGCCTGTGGCGTCAAACTGTAAGCCAAGTTGTGAAGGCAAAGAAAAAGTTCCCGAAGGAAATTAAAAGCACTACCCTAACAAACACATAAGTGATAAGGAAGTGAAACAGCCTTATTGCTAATATGGAGAAAATTACAGGGTCTGGATAGATCTAACCAGCCACAACATTTCCTTAAGCAAAAGCCTAATCTAGGGCAAGGTCCTAAGAGAATAAATAGGAGATGAATGCTGTGCTGTAGTCCAGAGGCTTAGAAGAATCAGAGCGAAGTCTCCATGAAGAGTATATTGTTCTAAGATAAGCGCGTAGGAAATAAAGCAAAGGAAGGGAGGGAGGGTAGGGCAGTTATAATCTCCAGGGAAAACAAAAAGTGTTAAGGAAAGGCAATTAAAGCATGCTATAAGGCTCATATCTATGTGACTAGTATCCATAGCGTCAAAATATATAGACCTTAAATATTGGTGGGAGGAGGAGAAATTTGATTGTATGGCAGTCTTTAAAAAGAGAGACATTGTCATCTCCCAAACTTGGAAATTAGTCAACAGTGCCTGAAAATTGAGAAAAAAAGCAATATAATCCCACTCTTCAGCAATAGAAAGGAAAATGTCAAAGAATCAGTTAAAGGATAACGTGGTTATAGGAGTAGAGGCTAGGGAGGGGACTGGAAGTTTGCAGTTTTCTAACATTTTAGAGAATTATTTGACTTTTAAAGGTATATGAACGTGTGACTTTGATAAAAATTAAATGAAAAGATGGATGTGGGACGTGAGGGGCTGACTGGAGCAAGTTGAAGGGGTTCTACCCACCGCTGAACTAAGCAGCCTGGCAGTAGCCCTTGTTCAAGCTGCATTCACTTTATAAAAAGCCAAGTAACTCAGGAGGCAGGCTGAGGCATGAAGTGTTATTTGTGGCAGACTCATACCTGAGACATCAAATAGCAGGTTCACTCGCCTCAACCACCACAACATGTCTGCTAGCAAGCGGTAGGCAGACTCCTTAGCTTATCATTTCAAAGAAGTTCTGTTCTCTAGGATGGAAGACAAAACAGTCTGGAAGGCATACACAAACTTGGAGAACTGGTTCTGTGCGGATGCATGTGTGCATGTGTGGCCTGTGTGTCCACGCCTGCAAGCACACACACCCCTTCCACCCGCTTAAAAAGAGCTTTGTGCCAGAGGAGGTCAAAGACAGAGGAGACAGAGCTATAGAAGGACCAGGAAAAAGAATAACTATAATAAAGAAAAAACAAGCAACTATAAACCAGAGACACACTGTGGGGGAGGGAGAGCGGGGAGAGGAGGGATTGGGGTCAAAATAAGGGGGGGTGCAATTGTATGGGGAATATAACCAAGATGAAAATGCATACATTGTGCAAAAATGAAAAATGATGTAAGAATTATATAAAATAAATAAATAATAAAATCATCAAAAAAAAAAAAGAATAAGAGATGGAACACCTTTTGCTAATGACAGGAGAAAGGGGAGGGGGAGAGGAGAATTGCTCTGTAAAGGGCTGGGGAATCTGAAAGAAAGGAAGACTTGGGGGCTTAGTTTTCCAGCTACAGTTGCTCAGATGAGGCTTGTACCTTCTGATAGGGGGCCAAGAGGAATGGTGGTGTCGTGTATTTAGAGAGTGGACTTCAGTTTCTCCCAGGCCCAAGAGCAGTTTGGAGAGCTTCTGTGAGCTTGTAGTGAGCACAGCCTAACTGGGAGTGAGAGAGACAAGCTGGCCTGGTTGGGAGGAGATATCTACCCACGGTGGGGAGGGCGGGGACTGAGCGGGTGAGAGGGGGAGATCTTGGCCTGTCCCTGGAGACAAGGGAGGAGCAGGCCTGATCCTTAGAAATGAGGATTGGGATCTGTGGGATGGAACAGAATGTTCCACTGACCAGAGCTGTCATCTCTCAGAGAGCACCCCAGACTATGGGACACCAGTAACTGACAACAGCCAGGGTCCCAGGAGCATAGGAGACCAAAAAAGGACCCACATCTCCCTCAGTGTGGTGACTAAACTGAGATGCAAAGTCTCAGATTATGTGAGACCAGGAGAAGGGTGATGAAGTGGAGATGATGCCCTGAGCTCAAGCCAAGCCTGCTGAGGTGTATAACTATTGCGGTGACCTAGGCTGGATGTGATAAAGGTGTAAGCCTGAGCAGAGACCTGAGAAAGGAGAGAGAAGACAAATGTGGAAGAATTTAAAAGGGAAATGCACAGGACTTGATAAATCTTGATTTATCATCCCCAAATTAGTTAAGAACT